CTTCATGGGGACAATGCCCCCTTTATATATGTGACTGTTAGAGTGCAACTGGTTAGGCCTATAGCCATACTCTCCGCTCAAATGTTCTGTGCACGGTAATATATACATATGTGCACACCTTATAGTACTGCTAGCAGTGGTAAAGATCCCCAGCCACGGGGTTTTTCTATTACAGATGCTGTCTTTCAGAGGGGTTGAAATGTGGCTATAAATGCTTTTCTTTGGGGTAAGCATGAGATTTGGGAAATACCAGGTCTCTTTAGGAGCACCAGGCTTCATTTACAACAATTGGATTAGTTTCCAAAATGATACAAGCAGACAAAAATGCAAAGGTTTCAGTTTGTCTGCATTGTCTGGGACTTTTCAGAACGTGGGGCTGGATCTCCCTCTGTCACAGTAGCTCACTAATGAGAGCCTAAGTGACTGCTCCAGTGAAACAAGCCAGCAGCACGTGACAAAGGAGTATGACGGCTACAAAATAAACCCTTTTAAATATTTGTTTCAGAGTACTGATATCTATGTAAACATGAAATTTATATTTATATTTATTACTGTGTGTGGGTGTATGTATATAAATGGTCCGTAATTATTCCCTTCTCTTAAGAGTGTAAATGGTACGTTACACAATGGATGGGTAAGTTCTGATACGCAGCAGTAATTCCAGGAGAATAACGTCCTTTGCTTTAATTCAGGATGTGGGCAGCCTGTAGAGGATGGCTTGAGTCCATCCCTCTACATCTCATCCCTCTTAAAAGGGCAGGCGGGCCAATTTGGTACTAGTATCTCACTCTCATGTAAGTCCTGCAGTTGGCATCGTCATATTAGGAGATTGCACAGCTACACCATTGTGAGATGTTCTGCCAGCAGGCAAGGCCCTGAAGTGGCACTCATAACAGTATGGGAATGGGGAAGATTGAAAGCTTGTCCCTTAGCTGTGGTTTAGGAAACCCAGGCCCAGAGTTCCTTAGAGATTCTCCTCCTGCATCACAAGACCCTCTCCCCACAAGCAGGCTGGTCAAGTTTGTCTGCGGGTGAAGTTTGTCTGCAGCATATCTTCTTTTGGAGTCTGTGGTAGAGGTGATCTCTTTTATTAGACCAACTAGATAGTTGTAAAAAAAAAAAAAAAAAAAAGTCTTTATTTGCAAACTTTCACGCTCACGTGCTCTTCCTCAGGCAAAGGAGACTGTTGTCTCAGGAATGGTTTTCAAGCCAAATTTGCATACTTGCAGAGCAGCCTCAACACAACAGGACTGCCTTGCCCAGGAGAACTTTTCTATCATCAGTCCTCCTCTGAAATGGGAAACATCCTAACAAGACAGACCCATAATTCAACATCCAGCTTGCCATCAGGCACCTTTGAGGTGAACAGACTGCTCCAGCTTTTACCCGAGCCTAATTTGCATAAAACACACTTTTCTGGCCCGGAGAACTTACAGTACCCTCCAGCTCTCCTGTGCAATATAGAGTTTCATTTCTACCTGGGAGAAATGTTACAGTCTTTGCAGTAGTCTTTGCCTGAGGATGGGCACGTGAGCCTGAAAGCTTGCAAGTAAAGAAATTTTTTTTACAACTATCTAGTTGGTTTAATAAAACATTGCCTCTACCGCACTGACTGCTTTTGCTTTTTGAACCAGCACAGTTACAACCTTTATCTCCGATATCTTTTTTTTGGTAATGCAGTGTTGGACGGTTTAGAACAAGCAGTCCCAAAGGCAGTGACTCAGGATATTAGGCTAGTCTGTCAGTGTGTGGGGAGACATGTGGTGTCGTCTTTGTCCATCTTTCCAATTCCAGCCTCTGCAGCTGTCTGAGCAGAGCTTGCAGCCATGAAAGGAACTGCATTTGGGAAGCAACAGTGCTGCTTTGGGACAAGTTGCTGCTGTGCTCTGAGAGGGTGCAGCTTCTTCCTTCTGTTCTTTTTTTTTTTCCCTTCTGCCCCAGGGAGATCGCTTTGTGATAGTCCGATTCCCCACAAGCCTGAGGCATGGGAGCCCCTGAATACAATGTAAGTAGGATTCCTCTTCCTTTGCCATTCACTAATGGTAAACTAATCCTCATGGGCCAGATTTCATCCCTACTTCAATTCTACTGAGGTCACATGCATAAAGCAGATGGATGCATTTTGATCTACTTTAGCTTTTCCTAAGTTAGGGCTGGAGACCTGGAAAGAAGCTGCTTCAGAGCCGTCTCTTTGGAGTAGGATTTCATTACATTTCTTGGAGACTAAAAGCTCTGAGTCAGTTTCTGTTGGCTATCAGGATCCGATGGCTGATTTTTAGGTGCTCCTTTTGATTTGAAGATGACCAAAAGGGAGTAACCGTGGCGGTATGTGCAATGAAAGAGGCCTGAGGTTTTCCTGTCCTATTCCAAGGGAGGCAAGCTACAGCAACAGCCAAACTTCAGCCTGTATATGTGGCAGCTCCTTCACAACCTCTGCTGACTTCCATAGAGGTAACAGCAAATACCCTTGGAGTCAGCATTTTGGGTCTAATTTGAGCTCGGGTTCCTAGAACAAGTTTTGCACCCCCTTGTACTTCATTTGGCTCCACTGAAAACTTTGTCTGAAGAAGAGCTTTCATTAAAAGCTTTGTTTGAAGAGAAATGTCTCTGGGTTCCTGAAAAAATAAATAGGATTTAAATAGAAAAAATGTAATCCTCTTCTGTCTGTCTGCCTCACTGCTAAAAATCAGATGCAAAAGATCCTGATGTGCCACTGATTGATATGCTGCCCTTTTGAAGTGGATAGGCCGTTGAAGTAGGTGGACTGGTCAAACAGTATTTATTTAGCTGACGCGGTTTCGGCATCTTGTTTCATCCATCTTACAGCAATGTCATCACCAGCACAAAGAGCTTGAAAGCCGCCAGGTAGCATAGTAAATGGACACGAATCAATGATGCGGGACATAGTTGAACTTGTGCACAAGGCATTTGTCATCAGTGCGAAAGCCCCATTGGTATAGATTTGTGGCACAGTGACCCTGGCCAGTTCAAAAACATACAAACAGTTATAAATTTGGGCATCCTTTTATCCTTTTCTCACCTTCTCCCCACCCCCTCCCCAAAGTTGCAGGGAACCAGGGTATTGTTAGTCCGAAGAGAATTTTTTAGAGGAAAAGAAAATAGATAAACATAGAAAAGCATACTTAGAAATGCACGGAAATGAAAAAGTGATATAAAATGCAATAATCCTTTTGAGTTAGCAAATCACCTTGGGTTCCTGGCACAGTGCTCCTCCCTGTGACAAAGCTGGCATTTACCATGCAGTCAACCAGAGCAGTGAGAGTAACTAACTATCTGTGGTATCCAGAGGACTGGTAAGATCTGTCGTAGGAAGGTAAAGCATTTCCATCACGTGCCAAAAACCGGATTTTTTTTAGGATTAACATCATAAAATGCCAAATAATCAGTAATAACACAGAAAAACCTTTTCTGATTTGGAAACGATGCGAGAGAGCTGTTAAATCTCTAACCTAGCCTATATGTGTGTTCAGCCTGGTGGGTTTTTAATGAGGACAAGTTGTATAAGGGTCTCAGAGGGTTGAGATGAATGAACTGTAACCCATCCCTTATACACAGATATGTAGAGAGGATTTTTGTCCCTTCCCTTCCGCATGGGTTTGGCACTTAGCTTTATGGGGTGGGGGTGGGTGGGATGAAGCCTATTTGCATTTTGGTTTCGGTTCTTACCCAGACAAGACGCATCCTGCCAGAACCTTTTGCTTTTTACAGCTGATGCTGAGAGTATTTTTAGTGACTTGTTTAATAACCAGCGCTTTAAAAAGCAGGTTGAGTATCTCAAGTGGGAAAGCTAGGTCTTAGGGCACTGGATGTCAGTTTTTCTCCTAGCCGTATTGCAGCATTTCCATCTGTGGAACAGCCTGGGTATACAAAATATGGATGAACATGGAGAAAGCAAGGAGTACTTATCTGGGTGATGGGCAGAGGGCAGCTGTTAACCACGGTGGGAAGGAAACACGACATTCAAGAGCGGGGCCTGCATTTTCATGTCCAGCGGGATACAGTATTTTTTATAAGGAGCCATACTTTTTTTTAAAGTACTTTGAGATCTGAATGTGATTTCTAATGTCTCAGAACGTTAATATTTTAAAGCTATAACAAAGGTTTAAATTTCTACTATTTTTTTCATTTATTTTAACTGTTCTGTTATCTATGACCTTAAATGGATGTATGTGGTTGGGGAGTCATTGCTTCTCCTCTTAGCATTTGTTTCTATAACCAGAAATAAAATTCTATATTAAAGAGAGAGTGCCCAGAAATCACTTGCTCTTTTTTGAGTGGCCAAGGCACATACTCTTACTGCTCTTAAAAGCATCACAATGAGTTTATGGTTTTCCCTGTGTCTTGGAGTTAACCAGATGCTTGTTATGAACCACCTGCGTAGGCCCAGTGTACGCTACAGCTTTAATCAAGGTTGCAATGATTTAGAGGCACGGCTAGCTCAAGATAGGGTTTGCAGCTATACAGTTAATGCCCAGTCAGGTTGACTGGTCCATCCTCCCACCTTTTGCTGCTTTAAAATGCCATCTCAGAGGGCTTTTCCTATTTTGAATTGAGTGTTCCTCTGTGTGCCCTCCATACACAGCAGGGAAGGACTGCTGCAATTTTCTCTGAATGCAAGGACACAAACAGGTGCACCGAGCTTGGGGATGCAGGATTTAAATGTTTTCCCTCCTTCCCGTTGGATTGCGGCTAGGACATAAAACATCTCACTGGTGCCCCTGAATTCATCTCCACTGCTTGGCAGGATGCTGTGTTTGGGAGCATTAGTTCCTTACCATATTGTTAGTAACAAATAAAATGGCTTTTTAAATCAAAATCCATAATACTTCCAATTGATTAGAGCCCACCCCTCACACTAAGGCTGCAGGCTCATGACATTTTTCACACCAGTGTTGACATGGGGTTTCTGCTAGCTATGTGCTGCAGCATTTCATTTGTTGTTGAAAATTACAAATTGGAGTATTTTTAACTTAAAAAATGATACGAGGGCAGGAAAGGTTTCTGACTCTTCCCCTACAGAGGCTGGATAATTCTTACTACCTGTTTTGCTTCCCTTGGCACTTTATTTCAACTGCACCTTCTTTTTTCCAAACCATCACTTCAATTGATCAACTCATTGGCTTTGAGTTTCAGAATTAAATATTCATATCTTTGAGACCTCCACTGACTTTGAGCAGATTCCCTAGTCAGGTAGCCATATCTTGACCGGCTGTTCTGGGGGTTAAAAATTTCATCCAGGTTAGAAGTTGTTCAGTAAACAACAGTGACAGGAATCTAGTTGTAAGGCGCTTCCCGTTTGAAGTCTCATGCCATCTTCATTGGCCTTCGTAGCAAAGTACATTGGACAAGTTCACTGGTAATGCATCGTTATTACAGACAGAGGGAAACTGAGCTTGGGACCATCTGAATCTTTACATCAGTAGGCCCTCTGCTTCTGTATGTCCGACTGCTGTGACCACAACCCTGACTGATGGATACTTCTTGTTCCAAGGGGCAGGTATGAGCTGGCATCTCAGTGACTAATGGGCAAGTGCAAACTGCTGCTGGTCAAGGTCTCTGAAGAGCTTTATGCCAGTGGGTGGCTCAGGGCACTCAATCCCAAGGGCAAAGGAGCCATATTTTTGTGGTATCCTCCCTTGCTGCTGAAAGATTGAGGCCAAGCACTGCAGTAAAACCTTCCAGATTTATTAGTAGTCAGAAGGAGGAATGTTTCTAATGGGGAAATGTTAATGTCTTTTTAACCTTTTGGGAACGATGAAGGCAGCCTGCTGAGCAGCCTATTTTTAACAGACTTTGCCCTTTTCAAAGCACGTCATTTTTGAACGGTTCACAGGAAAGGCTAACAGCTTCTGCCAGCATCCCATTTTTAAAAACCAGGCTCTGTAAAAGCTGGGCCATACAAATGCATTTTCTGTAGGCATTGTTCCCATGCTGTGCTGTGTGTCCTGATGGAAAAGGCAGCCTGAGTGAAACATCACTCATCAAATCCCCTCCAAGGCGCTGGGTTCGAATTTGACTATGGCCGAATGAAGCAAGTCAAGAGTACGGCCCCTTGCAGACAAACGGTTTATGAATGTTGGGGATCGGACACAAGAACTGCCATTTACTGGGTCAGACCAGAGGTCCATCTTGCTTTGCGTCTTGCGTCGCACAAAGGCAGACGGAGGACGTGGGAAGGGAGAGCGAACAGGGTCTGACGAGGGTTTTTCCCCTCACAGCCTCCAGCATTGGCAGTCTAGGAAGGTCCGATTCAGACGCTGCCCCCCGAACTCCCACGTTCAATAGCTGCTCTTGCACCTTTCCTCCAAGACTTTAATTACACCTTCGGTGCAAAAGATCTTTCTTTGGTTCATTTTACGCGATCATTTCACGTGTGGCACTTGCTCGGATGCAAGGGCACGAGAAGGCCCTTCCCAGCAGCAGGTCTTGGACCGAAGACGAGTTTCTGGACAGCCAATTCCAGGATCCTTCACGCGGCGTAAGGCCGGGCCGGCGCTCTGGGTCCAGCGGCTCGTCCGAGGCTTCTCCCAGCTCTGCGGTGGGCCAAGGAAAGCTGGCACGAGCTAGACCCTCCTGGCCGCGATGCCCCTGCTATTCCCAACGAGGTCGGTCCTCAGGCGCGGCGTGGGACTCGCTGTAGCGTCTCAGCTGCCCCGCCAGCCCCGTCGTCTTCCTCGGGCGACAGGGGGAGACAGCAAGGAGCCCATCCCGCGTCTCTGAGCGCAGGGGGGCACAGCCAGGAGCTGGCACCGTCCCTGTTCCCTCCACCCTGGGACGCCTTGCGGGTCCGTGGCTGTGGTCACGCTAAGGCAGATCGGGGGCTGCCCTGAGCTGTGAGAGTGGGGAGAAGGGGTCAAGAGCCAATGACCCCCTCTCCTCCCCCCTGGGCTTGGGCCTGCCATGAGGGGCACGACCTTCCTCCAGCCCTCCCACGCACGTGGTTGGGGGGGGATCTGATTCAACCCGGAACCTCGCGCAGCGGAACCGCGTCCCGCCCGGACCCTTCCGGGGGCGGACCCGGCGGCCGGAAGTGCGCGGCGAAAGGCTTCCCCGGCTTCCGGGATGTTCGCGGCGGCAGCCCAGAGTCTCCTGCGGCAGGCCCGGTGCGGGGGGCGGGGTGCGGGGCCCGGGCGGAGGAGGAAGGGGGGGGGACCGGACCGGGGGCCCTCACGCGCCGCCGTCTCCCCCGCAGGGATGCGCGGCCCGAGGAGCTGCGGGCGCTGGGGGCCCGCGCCGCCGTCCTGCTGCAGCAGCCGGAGCCGGGCGCCGAGGCCGCGGACTGTCTGCGCCGGATCCTGCTCGTCGTCGCCGCCACCAAGCGCCACCGGAAGTGAGTGGCCGGGCGGCGGAGCAGCAGATCGGGGGGCGGGGAGCAGAAAGTCGAGCAGGAGATGATCAGGTGGGAAACACTGGCTTCTGCAGGTTGGACGACAAGTTTGTGGACGTGTTGGAGCGGGCGCTGTGTCTGCCCAAATGCCCCCCGCAAATTCAGGTCTTGTGCGCCGCCATCCTGAGAGAGATGTCACCGTCCAACAAGCTGAGCCTGTCCTGCCACGAGATCCAGGAAACAAAGCTCTTGAGCACCGTGGGCGCCATCCTGTTGGCCCAGGTAAATGCCCTGTGTGGTCGGGTATTTAAAAAAAAAAAAAAAGTTTTTTTTAGGTGGAGATTTGTGATCAGATTTCATCGCTCGCTTACAGCACAGAGGGAACGACTAGGCGAGAGCAGAGCGGCCCCAGGTAGATGTACATTAGGGGACCCGAGTGCGATGCTTTGTTTGGAATCAAACAGCAGATTTTCCTGTAGATTTTAAGATTTAAAGACAAGCTATTCCAGATCGTGGCGTGGGCGACCTGAGGGGAGGGATGCTGGCGGCTCTGACGCGCGGGGAACGGAAAGGAGCAGTTCAGTGCAGCCTCCGGCAGTAGCGCCCTGGTCACCGCTGCTCGTGTCTGCGCAGGGAGCAACTCAAACGTGAATTTATCTCTGCTTCTGGCCTCTTCCTTATGCTGGGTTTCATGCTCAGATATAGAAAACAATGTATAAGAAGCCATAAAATATCGGGGGTCGTAAATACGGATGGCCCTTCTCAGGATTTCTGGGCTCCACAAGAGGTAGTAGTGCTCGATGATCTTCCGAGGTCCCTTCCAGCCCTAATGTCTATGAAAGAGCTCCTTTGCTTGGGATGCTGCCTGTGTAGGCGGCTGCTTGGGAAACAGGCTGAGACGTTGAAACAAAAAGTCCTCTCTCATAGATGGTAAGGCCAGAAGGGACCTTGTGAGATCATCAGGCACCAAGCAGGAAAGACAACTGGGGTCGGGTGACCCCAGCAAGGTGACCATCCAGTCTCCTCTTGAAGGTTTCCAGAGGAGCTTTCTGCTGGTACTAAGACAATTTTTTTTTTTTTAAAAGACACTATATTTTTTTAATTATATATGGGAATCAAGCTAAAGCTTCTCCTTGGAAAGCCCCAGTTTCCCTGAGCTTTCAGAATACTCACTTGTGTGCTCTTCTTCAGAGGGCGGTAAGTCTTACTGAGCCAGAGAAATGGGAAACTAACTTCCAACAATGCATAGCTCTACTTAGGCACTCATTTATTAAGCCTCCTCCCCCTTGCCAGTCCAGCAGAAGCACATTTAAAATGCAGTGATCCCTGAATCTGAACCCCCTATCCCAGGTATGTGTTGACCCTTGAAGTAGAACCAGAGCCGCAGAGCGGTCGGTGTTCGCTGCGCTCCCATTTGCGGAGGGTTTAGTGCGGTTTGGCAATACCGATGTTGTGATAAGTCAGTCCAGCAGGTGGCATTAGCAAACGGTGTCCACCTGATATAATAAAAAGATGATCCACCGGAGCCCTTACACAAGGGTCGTCCATCTCTCCTTGTCTGTCCAAGTCCCCATTAGATGGGTTTCTTTCTAGTGTGGTAACTTATTCTGTTACTCTTGTATGTTGAGCTCACCCAGACCTGTGTAGTTTGCTTTACACTTACAGTTTTCCAGAACTTGCAGCTTCTGCTGGTACCATTAGAAATAGGCGGCTGTAAGTTATCTTCCTCCCTGGCTTCTCTGCAGTTTGCTCAGATCTGTCGGGAGAACGGACTGGCAGGTGGATGTTTAGAAGCTGTCAGAATTCACTGCTCCATCCCCTTAGGTCGCCTAGAGCAGGATTTTAAATCGTCCATTATGAGATCTCAAATGGAAAACTGGTTCCTTGATTCCAAACAAAGCACAAGCATCGAGTTCCTTAATGTGTAGTCAGGGGTCAGCTTTCCAGTAGCGTATCGACCTGTCAGGAAATGGAAATCTATCAGCGTGTTGGTTCATTCCAGCAGTGCTTTTGGAAATGTGTGTCAGAGCATGTCGGAATAGGTCCTTGACTTCCCTTTGTCTGTGTGGGAGGCATCGTCCTTTCTTGTTCTTGTCGATGTCCCCGGGTGTCCTCTTCCAGGTGCTAATTTGATCACTCCATCTTTTGGGATAAAAGAGATGTTATTTCGTGTATCCCAGGCACTGAGCACTAGAGTGGATACCGTGGTATAAGGAAGAGCCTAGCCTGATGAAGAGCTAGCCTGAGGATTGCTTTCTTTGCTTTATATTTTTAAGGGAAATAAAAAGGCTGCAGCCTCGGCTGTGGGACAGCGAGTCATCAAAGTCCTTGAAGGGCGACTGCCTGAGGGGCAGAGTTCACGGCACCTTCTTCCTCTCCTGTCTCAGGTTATCAGTGTCTTTCCAGCAAGCCTGACGGAAGGTAAATGCCAGAGGGCCGGAGGAGGGCAAATTGACTACAGTTATGAGGTCAAAAAGGGCTTTGAAGGCTGAAACTAAGAGTGTGGCTTGGGACACCTTAAATTTGCCACTTCAAAAAGCATCTGAGTCACAGAGAAAGCAAAACACTAATCAAAAGAGTTTTCCATGGGCCCTAGATTGTGCTATGCCTGCCAGTGTGTTGGACACCTCACGGGGGAGAGGGACGTAGCCGTTATCCTATCTTCCACATGTGAGGCATGGACCTGACCATGGGTCTCTGGGTACAACTACAGCATAACTAGTACCTGAACTGGATAACATGGGCGGGGGGTGGGTAGGCATACACAGGAATCACAGACCTGGTTTGTAACTGTCCGCTGACTTGATTCTTGCACCTTCTTAAGCTGCTGGTGGAGGTGGTAGCTCTGCCCTGAACTCAGCTGGCATTATGGGTCTCTGGGGTTGCTTTCTGATGCCTCTCTGAGTCCAGGTATGGTAGTGATCAGGAGAAGAGGGAATTACATGCAAGGGAATGGCAAGAGCATCTCTGCTAGTGTAACCCTGGAAGAAGAAGAGGTGTGAAATCCAGCAAGAGGCTTTAGCTGGGAGCATGTCTTTGCTCTCTAGGAGGGAAGTCTTGCGGTGCTGGTGTGCTGCTGGTGCTGCAGAGGCCCTTGCTGTGCTGAGTCGGAAGGTGGCCTGCATAGCTCTTCCTTCCCTAGATCAGACCAACGTGGTCAACAAAAGGATGGTCGACTGGCTGCGATATGCAAGCGTTCAGCAAGGAGTTGCCCAGCCCTCGGGAGGTTTCTTCTCCACCCCCAGAACAAGGCAGGTGAGGACCTGGCGCCAACCGTGTTGCTTCCCCACTGGTGAAGGCTTCTGCTCCCACACTCAGGTCCTTAGAAATCATGGCCTAAAAGTACCAGTGTTTTAGCTTTGGAAATCTTGGTCAGAGCCTTTTGGGCAGCAGAACTAGTGCAAGGGAACCCACATTCCTAGGCTAACAACAGTGGTAGGGAGACAAGGTAGCTGCTGTTCTGGTGGCTACGTGGAGGTGGGTATCTTGAAATGGAAGGTTACTGCCATAGGTGGCCTGGGAGGGAGACAGGAGATCAACAGGCCTACGAGCTTGAGGGCCCCTCTCAGAGAAGAGGGATCAGTGCAGCACAGTGGTTTAGCTGTATAGGCAGCAGCACCCTCTGCCTGGCCTTAGAGTGTTACAGAGGTTCCCCATCTTAGCCATGGCCACTTAAATGTTACCTCGGACATCAGTGACTCCATGCCTCCTCCCCCGCACCAGCCCCTGCCTTGGGACTTCACTCGGGTTCTTTTCTGTCTTCCAGCCCGGCCCCGTTACAGAGGTAGATGGCTCCATTGCCACTGACTTCTTCACGGTGCTGTCGCTCGGCCAGCATTACACGGAGGACCAGTGGCTCAACATGCAGGCCTTTTCCATGCTGCGCAAGTGGCTGCTCTGCTACGGGGGCGAGGGAGCCAGCAGCCCCAGTTCAGGTACTGGCTGGGGAATCACAGGCTGGCTCTGCCCCCAAGGAGCGGGCTACATCTCGGGGAGTGCGTGTCCCAAACTAGGCCTCAGAGGGCACTTGGTAACACCTGTGGGCTGAGATTAGCGGGCACTGGAGGTCCCTGAGCTCAGTAGCAGGGTATGCGACAGGCTGGGGTCAGGGGAGGTTGGAAGGTAGTGTCGCAGCCTGCTACAAGGTCTGGTACTGGAGAGTTAACCATGTAATAGCTCCCAAGAGTATAGGAAAATCCATAAGGCCAAAGAACTGGGCTGAAGGTGAAGAGTACCTCTTTGGGGCTGTCAGCACATTTCCATAGGTGCTGTCCTAGGCTTTTGGTGCCAGTGGGACAAGGAATCAGATGCCATCTGCCCTCCCCATCCATGAGCCACATCGTTCTCAGGGCCTGGAGCACACTCTGCATTGCTCTTTCCCCCGATAGATGACCGATCAGAAGTGGACGGGTCCGTCATGTCCATGGTCTCTGCCACCTCCACATCCAGTCGCCTGCTGCCCCCAAAGGAGCGACTGAGGGAGAAGGCCTTCGAGTACTGCCAGCGGCTCGTTGAGCAGAGCAACCGGCGTGAGTCTGGGCACAAGCCTGCGGGGTGGTGCTCAGAGCCTCTCGGGTCACTCTGCAATCCCCTCAGTCAGTCTGTTCCTGAGACTGTGGGTTCCATCTCCCTTCTGCTCCAAGGCACTAGACTAGAAATCTGCTTCCACTGGCTGCTAGGCCAGGGGTGAGCTCCGGGCTCTGTCAATCTGCTTCCACTGGCTGCTAGGCCAGGGGGGAGCTCCGGGCTCTGCCCTGAGTCACTGACTGCAAGCACAAGGTGTCTGATGGGCACCCCTTGATCTTCAGGTGAAGTTGGGGTAGGACCATCCTGCCTGCCCCTGACCCACTTGCTGTCACCAGGCTCCGTGCACCGGCTGTTGTTTTACATTGTTGGCGAGGGCTTTGGGACCCTGGATCCTGGGGGCTCTTGGTTGTTACTGGCTCTGAACTTGGTGAGTCAAGAGGCCATCTGGTCTAGGCCCTCTCCTACTCCACGAGGTTCATTCCCATCTGACCTGGGCAGGGTGTAGGGGCTCGGTGTGTCCCAGTAATTTCTCAGGAGGAAGGAAATGCCCTTCCCAGGAGGATCCATCAGCATCAGTTACTCCAGGCAATGTGTGCGCTTGGCTGTGAAGCAGCAGTCTGAGCATGGCTTGTTTCTCTGCTAGGGGCCCTGAGGAAGCCGGATGGGGACCTGCAGAAGGCCGTGAGTATGAAGACAGTGTCCAGGTAGGGGAGAGGCTGCCTGCACAGTCTTGACCTGGCTGCCTTTGCTCCTGCAGTGTCTCATCGAGGCGGTCACCATCATGGACATCATCTGCCGGCAGGATTCCTCCTACGTGTACCGAACGCTCTCCTGCCTGAAGATCCTGCATGGCAGGATCAGCCGGGACTTGGCCTATGCCCGGGCCCTGCTGCCCATCGCTCAGTTCTTCCTGAACCACAGTAAGAGGCGACTTGTCTGCGCTCCTCTCTGGGGAGAGGATGGCTGGGGCTGGCACTGCTGCTAGCTCTTCTGTAAGCCCTGAGGGTCTCTGCAGAACTGTGCACTCCTGGCCCCTGCTCAAGGCCCTCAGCATTTCCCAGCCTGCTCTGTGCCTCTCCCACCGTATATGCTGCTCAGACCATTTTGAATGAGCTGTGAGCCCAGCAGTCCAGCTCTGGAGACCACATCTACTTTGGCTCTTGGTCTTCTCAGTCACAAATGCAGCTGTGTCAGAGCTTTCCTGAACTGCTCTGAAAGCTCCTGTCCTTACCAGCGTAGCTGCTGCATGGGCTTAACTGACAGAGGTGCTGTGTCCCCGCAGGTGAGACAGCAGCGGTGGACTCAGAGGCTGTGTACAAGCACTTGTTCACCAGGATCCCTGCGCAGCTCTTCCACAGCCCCATGCTGGCCTTCGAGTTCATCCAGTTCTGCAGGGACAACCTGGGAGTCTTCACCGAGAACTTCAGCATCTTCAGGCAGAGTTTTCCCAACCTCTTTAAGGTACCGTGTGCTGGGCAGCTTCACACACTCCTCCCTGGACCAGGGTGGTGGGGGTTGGGGAGGAGCACAATGTGCCAGGCCAGGGCAGCAGAGAGTCTGGGGTGCCAGGGGGTCCCTCAGCAGAGTTCAAATGAGAGTTGCGGCTCTGGGTGTCCGTACACCCATGCATGTGGCCCACAAGGTTGGGCCTAGCAATGCTGAGATGGGAGTCGGGGTGTGCAGCCAGCAGGCAGGCTGGAAAAGGGAGGGAAGACTTGGCAACCAGACAAAGGAAGGGGAAGCATCAGGCTCCAGCAGAGGGGAGCAGCTGTGTTGGGATGGAGCAGCTCCCAGCTGGCCCACAGCAGCCTTAGCCTTCAGCCCAGCAGAGCTGTGGGTTGCAAGCTGTGTGCATGTATTAAGGGTCCCAGTGCTGCCCGCACTGGATCCAGCGCTCTGACCCCACCCTGTGCTGCTTCCCAAGCTGTGAGGAGCCTTCAGGTCCTTCCCAGCTGCTGGGGAAAACCCACGTGGGTGGCGGGGGGGCTGGCCCTGGTGCTAGCTGTTGGTGAGAGGCTCTGCCTGGTGTTCCCTGCAGTTCCTGGCCTGGAACAGCCCATCTCTTATCTTGGAGTTTATGGACCTGCTGCCAGCTCTGCTGGGCCCAGACACTGCTATCGAGATGCTCCACTTGTTGCTCGATCTGCCCTGCTTGGCTGCTGCTCTGGACGTCCAACTGAGGTGACACCCCCATCCCTTCCAGCTGTCCTGGGGCACCGGCCTGTCTGACCCATAGAGCCAAGTCATGGCACAGACCAGCCCACTGAGGTGGCTGCACCATACCCAGAAACCACCCCCCTGGCGGGTTGCCCAGAGTGGCAATGCTGCGGCTGGGTTGGTGTGGGGCAGCTGCAACTTCTGCCAAGTTGTGTTGGTCATTAGTGCAAAGAGTAGGGGTTGGGGCATAGGGCACAGGCTGATTCTCTGAGGTCAGGGAAGGAATTTCCCTCCTCCCACATGTTTCAGTTGTTACAGTAGCACCAGTGTGGCCATAGCTGAGCAGTGCTAGGACCAGGCTATCTGGCTACCCAGCTCTCCAGTGAGAGCCTGGCCTCCAGCCCCATCTTTGGTTTCGTGTTGAAGATGAGTTATGTTGGCTAAGGTCATAATAGGTCCTTCAGCCCTGGCTCAGGATGTTCCTTCCAGCCCAACATGGCTCGGAGCCTGCATGCTGCCCTCTTTCCTTGGCTTGACCGCTCATGTGTTTGCCTGTTGCCAGGTCAGCCTCTGCTTCCGCCTCTGAGAGAGCTGCCTGTGACCCTGCTGCGAAGCCCACCAGCTGTCTGGAAGCCTTTCGACACCCGCTTTACCGGAGCTCGTTCCAGTACCTGCTCCGCACTGAGGCAGCCCCTGGAGACTCTCCGGAGAGGTAGGCGGCTGCGGGTGGGGCCAGAGATCCCCGTCTCCCTGCCACTTTGGGCCTGCGGGTTCTGCAAGGATGTGGCAGCAGCTCTTCCCTCAGGGCTGAGGCTGCTGTGCAGGACATGTCAGCCCCTGGCACGTGTGCCCCCTTCCCTGCTGGTTTGGCAAAGGATTCAAGAGCTGCTGGGGGAGGCGCAGGGATGGCTGCAGAAGCAGTAGGGACGGGCGGGGGGAGGCTGCTTGGATAGTGGTGCTGAGCTCTTGTCGACAGGCTGGCACCGCTGCGACAGCTGCTAGGGTCCGTGGCCAACAGCCCACGGGTCGTCCAGTGCGCGGAGACTGTCCCTGTCCTGCTGCAGCTCTTCTTCAACACGGCAGCTGAGGTAGGGCTCTCTCAGGCAGCTCCTGGGCACTGCATCCCAGCCTTCCCTTGCCTATGGGCACTCTCTCGGTGGCAGTTAAAGGGTTAACTCCCAGGTAGCTCCAGGCTCCTGCACAGCAGGGGCTCGAGATTTCTGCAGACCATGAGGGCGGTGGGCTGACGAGTTGCCCTGCTCTGAGCCAGGAGATGCAGGGACAAGCCTGGTGGCAGCAGCACAACACAGTGCGTGGCTCCAGGACCAGCTGCTGGCACCTGGGCAGGGGCAGGACAAGTGCAAAATGCCCGTGCTGCCTCCCCTCCCCCTTGCCAGCGAGTGGCAATGTCTGGGCTGAAAGGAATGTATCTCCATCTCCAGTTCGCAGACAAGCCCCTGATAAACCAGCTAGTGCTGGTGTTGCTGGAGAGGAGTGACCAGCTCTACGAGCTCCCTGCCTTCAAGGTTGACGTGCACAGGTGGGTGCCAGCTCTGCCCTGTGAGGGGCTAGCAGGGATAGAGAGCGCTAAACCTCCAGCTTCTGTGCTGGGATGGAGCTGTTGGGAGTGGCACCTGGGGCTTGAGCATCGCATGAGCTCTGCCTGGAGCTGCCCTGGTGCTGCCAAGGGGCCTCTCAGCTCTGGTAACTCGGACAGCCTGTGCCGCTCTATTGGGGCAGGGTGGTAGGGCCATGCTGAGGGCCAAGCCTTTGTGCTGAAGGAGCTGGGCCCTGCCCAGTGCTCAGAGCCCTGCCCCTGTGCCCCCCAGCAGCACGAGTGCTGCGGCTGTCCTGGTAATGGGGAAGCCGACCCCTTTCTGCCTCTGCCCTGCAGAAGGGGGCTTGGGCTGAGCAGTCCTGAGCACCTCTCCCCTGCCCTGCAGAGTGTTGAGCTCCCAGCTGCTGCTGCTGTGCAGGCTACGTCCCTCACTCGTGGTGGAGCTGTCTAAGGAGCTGCTGGAGTTCTCGGGGACCGTTGGCAACATCCAGAACAAGGAGGATGTCTACACCTATGTGGTGAGGAGCAGCCTGCTGGCCCCGGCCCCAGCCCCCGCTGGTTGCAGGGTGGCTCTCCTCGAGCCCTGTCCTTGTGCTCAGCCACAGATGCAAACCTGTCCACCATCAGTCCCCATGGAGCAATGCTGCCTGGCCCCGTCTCCCTGGGGGCCCTTCCTCCTGGCCTGCCCTGAGCAGAGCTTGTCTTGCTGCAGGTGTGGGCTATCGGCGAGTACATGTCGGTGTCGTACGACAAGCGGTGCACGGTGGAGCAGATCAACAGGTTTTTCGAGGCACTGGAGGCTATGCTCTTTGAGATCACTCAGCTCCGACCCGCAGCCAGCGGCCCCCCATCCTCACCCCGCGTCATCGCTGTCCTCATGACCGCCCTGACCAAGCTGGCTTCGCGCAGCCAGGACCTGATCCCCAGGTGGGCCAGCCACAGCCAGCTCTGCATTGCAGGGTGGGACTGGGGGGAGGTGTTTGAGGCCCAGGGGGTAGCAGATATCTCCTGTGTCTGCTCACTCTGGTGTGGTGACAAGAGAAGAGGGTTCTGTAGGCACTGTGGTCCCAGCACAAGGCGCTACAGTGCAGCAAGGAGCCTGTTGAAGGAGCCTGCAGTTACCCCAGGCCGAGCTCTGCCTACAAAGATGGGGGTTGTTTTAGGGAGCCGCATGGTCCTGGCTGTAGGAGGCTCTGGCTTGCAGTAGGGCCAGTAGGCAATGGTGCAGGAGCGTGTGAGCTCTGTGCCTGTGAAGCCCCGGGCAGCTGAGCGTTGTGCCTTTTCTCTGGCAGGGTGTCCCTGTTTCTGTCCAAGATGAGAGCCTTTGTGCAGCACCCGGCCACGGCCTCCGTATACAGTGAGCAGGACAGCGAGGAGATCCTGACCCGCGCCACTGAGCTCACCAACCTGCTGAAGATGCCCAGCGTGGCTCAGTTTGTGCTGACGCCGACAGCGGAGGTGGCTGGTGCCCAGTCCCAGAGAGACACCCACGCAGCCCTGCCCGCCGCCATGAAGATGGTCAGCCGGTTCATGGAGCGGGGGGCTGGCTTTGTGCCAGGGTGAGGGGACAGGGTGGAGAGGACCAGGCTGGCCTGGGTCCCTGTTGACTGAGCTACTGGCTTAACTGGACACGGGGAAGGGTGAGGGCTGAGACTGCCCTGAGCAGGGCTTCTGGGATGGAGGGAATAAACAGTGAAGAGAACACAAGCGGGTGGCTGAGCTCTTTAAGCTTACCCCACGCTGCGTCTTCCCTGGCCCCTGCTCCTTCAGGCCCCTCCACTTCCTACCCGCCGGGCCTCTGGGTCCCCATCTCTTTGGCAGTGCTGGGGGTTGCCCTGGCCAAGCCAGAGCACCTGTCCCAAGCAGAGAAGGGCTGCAGCTGAGGGGCAGAGCCTGCGTGTAGTGGGGCTTTCAAGTAAAGCTCCAGCCGAGACCTTGTGTCCCTGCGGGGCTGGGTTGGCAGGGAGCACCCTGCCCTAGTGGCTGGGGCTGGCAGCGGGGAGAGGAGCCTGGGAGGAGACTTCTGAAAGTCCAGAGGATGCTGGGGCCCTGCAGGCACTCCTGGCAGGACTGGTACCCTCCTCCCTTACCATGTCCTGGCTACACGTGGTCTCTGCTGCCAACAGTGCAGGACAGCAAAGGGGCTGTCAGTGTGGCCACCTGCTCAGCAAAAGCATCATGGGGGGCCCCGCAGCCCAGGACATGTCGCAACCTCAGCTTGTGAGAGGGCACCAAACCAGTGCTACCAGCATGGGCACAGGCACTTTACTGGCTCCAGTGCTGTCACGCTGAGAGTCGTCCCTCATACCTCCAGCCCTCATCAGGGGCTGAGCTCTGTTCCATGTGGCCCTCAGTTATGTACAGAGATGTGCAGTGTGAACAAGATAGAGGTGCAGCGGGGTCCTGCCATGCACCCTGGGGAGAAGCAGGGATTATAGACAGTCCTTGTGCGCAGTCCCAGCCCGGATGCAAGTGAAGTCAGTTCAGGGCTGGTGCTGGATGCGTCTCTGCCCACAGGGGCTAGAACTGATCAAATGACTGGGCCAGCAAGCTGCCTCCTGGGCTTGCAGTCAGCAGGAGATTCGTGCTGCCTGCTCCTGGGCCCGGGCATCATCTGCTCTGTCCACCTGGGTGTTCCCCGTGGCTGCTCTGATGGCGCCAGAGATGGACGGGGCTGAGGGGAACTGGGCTGACCAGAGCCCCCACGATCCATTTGGGCTCCTTCCCCCACCGCTGGCTCCAGGCTGAGCTACCAAAGTGCAGGAGCACTGAAACACCATTAACAACCTGTCTGCTTTAATGAAGGCTGAGACCACAGTGGGGTCCCTTTTCACCATCCAGCTGCTTGGGAGGGGACAGCTTGCAAGAGGCTGCATCAGCATCTTGCTCACGTGGCCTGGTGCGGGTCTGGTGTCAGCCAACAGCAGCTTGCTCTAATCAGGTACAACTGAACAGGGCCTCACTCGGGCTATAATTGGAAATCAGGTTGGGGTTTATGCTGATGCTGGCGGCTGAGCGGGAAAGGCAGCTGGGATGTGCCTGCACTGACGGCTCGTCCCCATGCGGGGGAGCGGGTGCATCTGTGCTATGCAGGACACGGTCAGAGGGACTGGGGCTGTGGGCTGTCAGGAATCAGCAACTGAAGCTGCGAATGATTATCCGACCAAGGGAATGTGTGTCTGGGAGCCAGGTGCTGTCTAATGTCCTCCGCTATCTCCATGTCAGCAGCAGGCCCATCTCTGGGTACATGGCTGAGAGGGCCAGACCTTGCCGTGGCCCAGGGCACAGGAGAGGGTCAGGCTGGTGGACGAGTGCCAAGGAGCTTCCTGAGCTACAGCAGTGGTGACGCTCCATGCCATCTCGCAGCAGGTGCCTGCAGGCCGCTGTCCTCAGAGCTGCTGGGGCCAGGATGACTTGGCTCCATGGGCTGGGGACTAGAAGCTGACCCAACCTACAGACACATGCACGGACAAGCAAAGTGCGCAGGGAGAGGCCTGGGTGCAGCCTTCAGGCTCAGGACCAAATCTGTGGGGCCTGGGGACACTTGTACTGGCCAACGATCCCCCAGCAGAGCCCCACGGCTCATGTGACGCTGCCCTCGAGCCCATGCAGCAACACCCTGGCCAGGCACTTCCACCAAGCAGGAGGTGCTGTGCTGCAGCCTGGCCCAGAGCCCCTGATCGCCCAAGCCAAAACTGAATGAGAGCGGCCTGTGGGGCTGAGGAGGTTCAGTCCCAGGTCTGGGTGGGCAGCATGGGGCTGCTGCCATCTCTGCAGTGCTGAGCAAGGGCTGCTCAGGACTTGCAGGAGCTCCTGGTGCCCTCTGCCTCAGCCCCATCTCCTCCCAGGGGTACAGCCAGCGTGAGGAGGCTGTGGCTTGGTAGCAGCAAGGCAAGACAGCAGGGCCTGGTGCTGACTCTAGGTGAGGAATGAAGTGAAGGTGACCCCATCCCCAGTGCCCGCTCTGCGACTGGCAGGCCTGAGGCATGGCATTCCCAGAGCCACGATGTGGGAGCCAGAGCTGCAGCCGGGTCTTCTCCCTTGGGGCTCCTGGCCCCAGAGCCCTGTATGCTCATGCACCCTGCCTCTTGGCGACCAAGGGCTGCTGCCATTTCACAGTCTGACTCCCCCAGAGGCCACGGGCATTTGGTGCTGCAATTAAGAAACACCCCCAGGCAGCTCGACCTTCAATGACATTGCTTTTTAATTCCTGGCTGCTGGCCACCCCCTGCAGGGTGACTCCCAGGCAGGGCGGTCCAGGACCTGCTACCCCTAGCCAGCCTGCCAGAGCAGTGCTAGACCGAGGCAGAATGGAGACAAAGGGAAGAGCCCAAACCACTCGCTCTGCCCAGAGGAGCAGAACCAGCCTCCCTGTAGCCAAGAGTCCTTTGAGGACAGACAAGGATCAGCCCTCAGCAGAGCAGAGCCTGGGGGCCAGCAGAGCCAGGCTGGGCCTGTCCGTGACGGAGGAAGAGTTGGCCATGCAAAGAGCCGAGCTGCAGCAGCAGGAGATGAGGCGCGTTCACACCCTCCAGGCCAGGCTCTGGGATGGGCCCTGGGAGCCTGCACCCGTCTCTCCCCGATCCTGCAGCCTGGCGGGAGCAGGACAAGCACCTGCTTCTTGCTTACTTCTCCAGCTGCACGCTCTGCTGGGCACCCAGGCAGCCATGTCAGCTGCAGGCCCCAGCACAAAGGAATTAGGAGGATGGAGACAAGCTGGAGCTGATCTTTTTGGCGATATCCATGTCTGACTTGGCAACGAGGAACCGCAGCTTCTTCCCTCCCGACCGGATGAGATCGACAGCGCTGGAGAAGCCAGATAAGAGGGAGAGGGTAAGTCCTGTGTAACCAGCTGCTGGCACATCCCAGCCGAAGCTGCTATTCATTGTCTTAGCTAGGCTCACGGGCCCTGTCCAGCCTGTGCCACCCTCTGGGCCCTGGCCATCTGCAGACCGGAGCCAGCAGGTGCTGGGCGCTCTGCAGGAGACCAGGTCCCCACAGCTGTGCTCAGCAGAGCTGCAGATTGGCTGCTTTGATTTCTGCTCCCTGGCAGAGGCCTGTGCAGCTCCTGCTCAGCCCTGTCCCTTTGCACCCTTACTACCCTGCTCCCCTCACACATGCAGCAGCCAGCAGGACCTTTGTGCTATAGTGAGGTCTCTGGGAGCCTTATGAGAGCAGCGTCACAGCTGACACGCAGCTGCTTCCCCTCTCAGCCCTTGTTGGCAGCCCCCTGCGTACTCAGCAGTAGGGCACCACGGGACTGCAGTACCTCGTCCCTTATGGGTACCCGGGAGAGGTGGGTTCCTGCCAGGAGAAGCAAACAGGGGCATGTTCAGAGGCTGTTTCTGCTCTGAAGTGCAATGAATTGAATGGGCCCTTTGTCACTGCTGACTGCAGTGAAACATCCTCCGTGCAGCCATAAATAGCTGAGGCTGGGTCGAGTGATGGCCATGCTGCTCTGTTCAGTACAATACACTGCCCTCCATACGAACCCAGCACAGCTCCCTGCCTCCTAAGGGTTAGAGCAGGCACAGGTCGCTGTGATCCTGCCACTCTCAGAGTTCATGGCCTGCTCTGCTCCGAAGATGGGGAGGTTATCCTGGAAGAGTCCCTTGTAGCAGCTGCAGTGTTGGGATGGGGTAAATGCTGCTCAAGGAGGTGAACTCCAGGACACAGGTCTGGGGATCAGTGATCTCTCGCCAAACAGGCTTCTCGCCTCCATTGGGACCTGAAACGCCAGACTCCCTTGTTCTCTCATAAATGCATCACTCTGGTGTAACCCACAGACACCACTCTCCTACCTGCGTGGTTCTTCTCCTGCATTTCCCTTTGGTACAACCCATCCCAGGTTGTTCACACACCATACAGCGTCCTGCCTCTAACTACCATTCATAGCAGCAAGACCTCGGAGCCATTCGGAGATGCCCTAAGAAGGCCTTTCTCCAGCAGGGCCCCTGCCTCCCCGTGTCCATGGCTGGAGTCCCTCCTCCCTACCTCTGGTAGTCGGCGCCAATCAGACTGGTCCCGTTGACAGCAAGGATGCGGTCACCGATGGAGAGCCTGCCATCTGAGGCCGCAGGGCTGTCCTGGATGAGGGTCCTGATGTACATCCCAGGGGAGTTCAATGGTGTGTGCTGTCAACAACAAGCCATGGTCAGCATGAGGCAGGAATGAGACACGGGCTGAGCTCGAGGTGACCAACACAAACCTGACCCGTCAGCACAGCCGTTGCGACAGGGGTCTTGCCACCGACTCGTGTCAGACCAGGAGCCCTTGTGCCATGGAGCCAGTGGCGGGCCCCCCGGGGGCGCGGG